TCGGGACAGAAGCTTCCGTTATTCGCGACAAGTTGTGCGACAGACGGGACAAGACGTCAAAAATAGTGGCTGCGACCGTTGGGACAAGTTCCAGGAAGAAAGTGACTTTCGGTGCGACTATCAAGGACGGAGATCCCAAAATAGGAGAAGAGGAGACCGAGGTTTATTCCTTAAACGTGAGAAGAATTCCCAAGACGCGGAGAAGCCCTGGACTGCGCGAAGTGAGCGGCGATGACGTCTTCGACGACGGTGAAAGTGTCGTGCCAGATGGCAAGCGTGTCATCTGCAGCGTTGGGGTGTGCAAGCGCTGTCGGACGGCTATATCGATTGCTGCCCGTCCGAAATGCTAGCTGATACAGGTGCGGTCGCCAGTCTCGTCGACAAACGCGTGCTAAAGCGTCTCGGACGAGCCTCCGACCCTCTACGACCTTATACTGGGGGCTTGGATAGTGTCTCGGGGCACAAGATTCGCGTTAGTGGGGTTATCGACTTGCCCGTCACGCTTGGAACGCTGGAGAAGACGCTTCCTTTCGTCGTGACCGATCACTTGTTTGTGTACGCAATTCTCGGAACGGACTCGCTAAGGGCGTTCCGCGCGGTGATCGACCTCGAGGAGCAATCGATGACACTGAAGAAGACGGAAGACGTGATCCCGTTGGGTGCGACAAGGGTAGAAGAAACCTACGCGGCTACGATATCGTCGACGGTGCGTTTGGAACCCGGACGTCAGGCCTTAGTGAGATCGAGCGTTCGCGGAACGATGAAGGACCACTCAGTTGTGTTGGTCGAGGGCGTTCCCGGAACGGACGAGACTTTGAGAGTCGCGAGGACGTTGTGTACCGTGACGGATGGAACGGTGTTGGTCGAAGTGTGTAATGCTTCCGCGGAAGAGGTAGAGATCAAGTCTGGCGCGTACGTCGCTGCTGTAACAATCGTTCCCAGGTCGGCGTTCGCAACTAGAGGCTCTAAGTCAGATGAAACGACGAGGAACGTAAGCGTAGTGCTGAGTACGGTGAAAGGGAACGTGACGGCTGAAGTTGGAACGATCGAGGCTGAGATGAGTGCCGCCATGGACGACAGCGAGGAAGACGATTTCGAAGTGGACTTCGAAGACTTGTCACTCGGAGCAGAACAGAGGGGTCTCTTCGCGAAGATGTTGAAGGACTTGAGAGACTTATTCGTCGAAACTTCCAAGAAACCTGGAAGGACGGACCTGCTACGATTCAGCATTGACACCGGAGATCACGCGCCTATTAAACAGCCTCCGTACAGAGTGTCGAAAGCTGAATGAGATGTCATGGAAGCAGAGATTCAAGAGTACCTAGATCTCGGACTTATCAGACCGTCGACTAGCCCATGGGCCAGTCCTGTGTTGATGATACGGAAGCCTGACGGTGGCGTAAGATTCTGCATCGATTATCGGAAACTAAACGCCGTGACCGTGAAGGACAGTTACCCAATGCCTTTGATCGACGACATCCTGGACGTTCTAGGGAACGCGAAGCTTTTCTCCACGATGGACATCGCTTCGGGATATTGGAACGTTCCAATGGATCTCGACAGCGTGGAGAAGACGGCTTTCACGAGCAAATTCGGCCTCTACGAGTGGTTGGTTATGCCGTTTGGCTTCTGCAACGCCGTGCCTGCGTTCGAGCGTCTAATGGAGAACGTTCTCGTTGATCTCAAGTGGAGGACGTGCCTCGTCTACTTAGACGACTGTGTTGTCTTCAGTGACGACTTCCCGACACATCTGATCCGAGTACGACAGGTTCTGGAACGTTTCCGAGCGGCAGGGTTCAAGTTGAAAATGAAGAAGTGCCATTGGGGACGTGACCAAGTGGCGTTCCTAGGGCATATCGTGACTCCGACTGGAATCCTACCGAACCCTGAGAAGGCAAAAGCGGTGATGAACATCGAGAGACCGCATGACTTGCACACGGTTAGAGCATTCCTGGGTCTGACAAGCTACTTTCGACGCTACATATTGCGATTCGCTGCAATCTCTGCGCCGCTGGAACGCTTGAAGCAGAAGGACGTCAATTTCAGATGGAACGACGACTGTGAGGGCGCGTTCCGACAACTACAACGAGCACTAGTGAAACCACCGATACCGGTGTATCCAGACTTCAAGAAGAGATTTTAGCTCTATCTAGATTCGTCACACTTAGCGGTGGGAGCATGCCTGATGCAAGAGGTCGACAAGAGAGACAGGGCGATCGCGTACGCGAGTAAGATGCTGGTTGGATCACAACGGAACTGGGTTAACAAGACAAGTGGAACGACAGAAATTGAGTGCTGGGGAATCGTATGGTCGACACGCAAGTTCCGGTGTTATCTGAGTCACGCGGAATTTGATCTGTACACTGACCATCAAGCTCTCACGTGGATCTTCGGCGAGACAACAAGAACGTCAAACGCCAAGTTGGCACGATGGGCCATGGAGCTGTCGCAGCTACGGTTTAAGATATATCACAAGCCTGGAACGTCGATGGGACACGCTGATGGTTTGTCGAGGCTGTATCACCGACCGGATGCTGGTACTGTTAGTGCCATCAGGATGGCGGACCTTCTCAACGACAGTGAGGAAGAGACTTCTGGAGTGCAAGTGCCGACTTCGGACGAAGCGCAGACTCAATCGGGAACGCAAGCCTTAAACGGAACGCTGGGTAGGAAAGCCACCGACGTTCCAATCCCAGTCGGGGAGCCTGCCGAGACTACTGATCCTAACGGAGAGACTTAGAGAGGGGACCAGCAGACCGAGGGTGCGTCCGTAGCTGTCGAGCCTCTCACACAAGCGGAGCAGGAAGAAGACTCGCAAGGAAGAGCTCTACAGGCGAACTCATCGCCGATTGACGTGTTTGGATTGGACTATGACAAGTTCGTGGCTGAGCAAGAACGTGTGCCCTGGATGCGAGCACTGAAGGCGTTCCTGAAAGACGGAGCCTTGGCTCTTGATCCACAACTAAGAGTGAGTGTGCTGAAGATGTCTCCGCACTACTTGATTCGAAACGGAGTTCTGGCACGTCTCGTACATCTAGGAGCACGTGCCGGTCCAGCCCGAACTGTGTGCGTTCCAACTGTCCCGTTACCATTCATTGAGACGGTCTTGCACTATTGTCACGCCGACATCTTCTCTGCACATTTAGGGAGAACGAAGACGACGGACAAGGTGAGACGCCACGCGTATTGGCATGGGTGGAGAAAGGACGTGATCGAGTACGTGCGTGAATGTTATATCTGCAGTGGAGGGAAGGGACATAGACCGTGGAGAGCTGGACTGATGCAACGGATGCCAGTTCAGGACTTGTCTGGCCTGTTCTCGCTACTCGTAGTCGGCGCAAATGGACCATTGGTCGTCACTCCTCGTGGCAACAAGTACATCCTAGTGTTTGTGGACTATTTCACAAGATGGGTCGAGGCATTTGCGGTCGCTTCGTTGGACACGATCTCGTTTGTGAACGCAACGATAGAGGGTGTTATCTGCCGACATGGAGTACCGGAACGTCTACTAAGCGATCGTGGTTCCAACTTCACTTCCAATCTGGCCAAGTCACTGTATCAGACGTTGGGGATTAAGAAGTTGTTCGGAGCGGCGTACCACCCGCAGACACAAGGTCTGGTGGAACGTTTCAACGGAACGTTGATGGGCATGCTACGTATGTTTGTGAACGAGACGCAGACGGATTGGGATGTGTACCTGCCCAGGGTCCTATTTGCGTACCGGACGGCATATCACGAAGGCCTCGGTGACACCCCGTTCTTTAGTCTGTACGGACGTGATCCTGTGCTACCTATCAACTTGGCGTTCCTAAACACGGGAAGGGACTGGAAGAGTAACGAAGTTGCGACGTACCGCCGGAAATTGTATCGCTCGTTGCGTGACTCGCGTCGTCTTGTGGAACGACAACTACTCAAGGCTCAGGATCGACACGAACAGAGGCTGGACAACCAAGTGAAGGTGACATCTGCTGAAGGAGACGCTGTCTGGGTGTACCAGTACTTTAGATCCCGAGTGGGGGAACGCAGGACGAAGAAGCTGGCGTTCTCCTGGCACGGTCCCTACCGTGTTGTTGGCCAAGTCGGGGAGAACGACTACAGGATCGCGATTCCGACGCACCCGAACAAGGTCGTCACGGTAAACGCCAACCGTCTGAAGCGCTTTCAAGGGCGCTGGAGTCGACCCCTTACAGACGAGAAGCCTGACAGAGTCGAAGAAGAAGAGGATGAGGCCGGTACGGGTCCATTGGGCGTCGAGGACCTGCCGTCGACGAGCTTTGTGGAACGTCTCTCTATTGACGAAGAAGAAACTGCGTTCTCGGGAGTGTCGTCGCCGATAGTGGACTTGATCGCGAAAAGAGTCGAAAAGCGTGAGTTGCAGTATCTCGTACTCACCGCCACGTATGAGACGTTCTGGTTGTCTCGAGCGGCGTTGGCACCGGAGTTTGGAACGGTGATACGTGCCTTTGAGGACGCAGATCGGAAGAAGAGAGGTCTGCCGAAGTTGCGTCGGAACGTCATATTGGTCGAAGCCAATGCTGATGTCGACGATGCTAAGGTGTTGTTCTAGCTGGCAACGGGAGCCGGTTAGAATGTATGCAGTTGTGGGACTGCACGAGAGTGTTTGGGACTCGCTGAGTCTCAGAACACTGAGTGGCGTGGACATATTATCTATTTTGGAACGACCACGGGTTGTTCTTTGGGTTTTACGGAGTTGGGTATTTTGGGAGCGTCACGAGCATACGAAGACTGAGTGTGTCGGGGTGGAACGTGAAAGAGTTTGTGAAGCATCAGTTTGGGACGTGAAGGAGTTTGTGAACAATCAGTCTGGAAAGTGAGGAAGTTTATGAAGCGGTAGTTTGGAGTCCGAGGGAGTTCGGATGCGTCGGTTTGGAACGAGAAGAAGCGCTTTAAGAGAGATTTGTTGAAGTAGAAACGAAGAGTCAGGAACAAGGCACGACGACGAGAAACGACGGAACGTTACGGTTAAAAGGGAACGAGAGCTACGAACGGCTACATCGCAAAGACGTGCTACTTGGCGGCCTTCTTCGGGTCGTCCTCATCTTCGTCCTTATCGCTTTCCTCGTCGCCGTCCTCGTGCTCGACGAATTCCTCCTCTTCCTGCTCGTCTTCGTCGTCATCGGCTTCGGACTCCTCGTCGTCGTTACCAGAAGCGTCATCGGCCGCAGCTTCCTTCTCTTCGTCCTCGCCTTCATCTTCGAATCGGACCACTCGTCGCGACGACGTTCCGCACCGGACGGTGGACGGACAGTTGGGACTTCGTAAGTTCCCGCCGTGATCTGGGCCATAATGTCATCTTGAGCCAGCTTGACGGCGTGGTTGTTTACGAGCGCCTGCCACGGTTCCTCGTTCTTCTCACCAGCCCAAGTCACGTTTGGTTTCGTGCTTGACATGGTGTCGCGGCGAACTCGCGCTAAGGCAGCAAGGGAGAGCCGGCTCTTCTCGTCTGCATCCGGATTCAGCGCGTCCGTAGACTCAAACAAAGAGCGCATGCTGGGGTACCCGTAAGTGTCGATATTCGACGGGTCCAGCGCGTTCTCGAGCGTGGCGCCGTAGCGTTCCTTGTCCTTCTGCTTCAGGGTCGCTAGGTCCTCGGCAATGGGTCCGTTGTAGGGGCGGCCATGGCGTGTGGCTCTGCCGGGCTGTCCCCCGAGCCAATACATCTCAGGGCGCTTCTCTAACATCTCGAGGAAGGCATAAAAGCCCCATGTCTCTATGCAAATGCTTGTGAAGGCCCAGCGAGCTTGGACGGCGCGCATCTTCAGCTTACGACGCTGAGGCATGGCCGCTGCAGTGACAAGAGGAGCGTGTAGGGCCCACTCCCAGAAAGCACGGCGGTGTGTCATCCAGAAACGCCAGTGTGCGCGGTATACTTGACTGAACTTGATTGGATCGTACCACATGGGACGGCCGGTCCAAGGGTACGCAAGGCGCCAGGGCTTCTTACCAAGGGCCTCTGCCTTCGCCAAGATGGCAGCAAATGCCCGACGAACGGGAGCTAGAGCCGTGCGACTCACGTCGAGAAGATGACCGAACAAGTTAGATGGAACGTGCGCCTTCTTGGGCTTGCTGGCGACGCGAGCCTTCTTGGCGGACGACTTGGAAGTGGAGTCGTCACCGCTGGACTTACGCTTGCCTCGCGCGGGCGACTTAGGCGACTTGGGTGTCTTCTTGGAGGGCGACTTCGACGGCTTGCTCGACGACGTCGTCGACGCCGTAGCAGATCCTGAAGAGGGAGCAGAATCTACCGGCGCGGGGAGGGCCACGACGGTTCCTTGGAGCGAAGCATCGGTCTGACCATTCAGGATGTCCTCGGCGAGCTGGTCTAAGAACCGGAGACCCGACGACATGCTGTTGGCGCCCAGGCGCGCGCGCAATTCGGTCCAGAACTGCTGCTGGAAGGCCCGCGTAGTGTCCCCAGGGGTGCCCTGCTCCTCATGGTCGAGGGCGGCGTTGAAGAACGCCCGGAAGCGCCTCAGCTCGGCGGCGTGGACATGGCGAGGAGCGGATTGTGAAATGAGAGATCTCCGAAAACAGGAAGTTTTTACTTGATGGCTGCCAAGGGGCACGCGAGAAGGTTCGACAGTTGGGACGTGGCGTCGACTGAGGGACGCAATGATGCTTGGTGACTTGGGCGGACAAGGTTTCGGGTGAAGAACCTTCCTAACGGCTAACGGTCTGGAGGATCTGCTGTTGTGACGATGTCACTTGGAAATTGATGACGATGTGGGGAGCGTTAGCGGAATGGGCGGAACAGACAAAGTGGGCGATGGAGTTCGAAGTGGCGGACGAGATGAGAGTCGTCGGCAGCGCTGTGATGGGGATTGTGATCTGGATTGCAACGGCGCCTCTGCGGAACGTGTCGCGGGCGTTCCTCGACGGAACGATCGAGAACGTGCGTGCTATCTACTTTTTCTGGTACACTTGCTGCGATCGCTACTTGGTGGCGGCTCGAAGCGCCCATGCCGCAGCTGTGCCACCTCCGGAGTACGCGTGCGCGCTAGTGAAGCTACTGTTCTTGGTTCCTATCGCGGTGTTACAGGACTACGAGTCCCGATTCGGGATTACAGGTCGTATGGGCCTTAAGTGATGTGAGGCGTTCCACCACTCGTGATGTCTGTACGTTCCAGATGCGAGTCTTTTGCTATGGGGAACGTCCTGCCGGTACGCTCGTGCCACTAGCAAAGCTGTGGTAGCTGTTGTGGATAGCGTTGGAGACTTTATTGCTGGGAGCTACTTGCTGACGTCATTACTACTGTCTATCCTGATCTACCTGGCCCGCCTGGTGTACGAGAGCGTCGAAGGAGTGCTGTGTGGCTGGATGGGAGTGACGCTGGTTGTGTTGATCGTGGACGTCTACCTGGAGTTTGGAATTGGCTGTTGCTACTGGAATTTGGCTGTGTTCGTTGTCGGCTGCTACAGTTACGTGATGCGATATTATGGAGGGCTCCGGGCGAGCGCTAAGGACCAGAATGATAAGGCGGCGAGACGCAAGTGGGAAGGGCTGGCTGGTTGTATAGAGCGTCGTGAGGAAAGAGAGCGAGCTAGCGTGGAGCGACTGCGAGGCATGCAGGCCGAAGGAACGTCGTCTGGAGTATGGAACGAGAGTCCAAATGCAAGTGGAACGTCACGTGGGAACGTTCCAGATCTGACTGTGAAAGACACCGTGCGACAGGCTCCGGGCGATGTGGCTCGGCGAGGACACCGAGCGTCAGTCGGGGAGAATTGTCACGGTGTACAGTTAGATGGTGGATTAACGATGCTGGCTGACTGCCTGCAGAAGGTCTACTCACTCCAGACTCTCCGGACCACGTCCAAGCAAGCGGGACCTGCGGCCAAGACAGTGACGTTCCAAGTTTAAAGTCCTGAAGCAGCTGGTCGTGGCGGGAATTGGAGCTGGACCGCCACGCACGAGGGATCTGCTAAAAGGTAAGAAGCTCTAAAACACTTAGCGAGGTGAATTGAGGAAGTCAGTCGTGGATTTCCTTCTAACAAGCAACACAAGATATATCAACTTTTACATTACTATCGCTGTAGTGTCGCTAATACTACTACCTCCTACGTCGGCCCAAGATACTCACGACCCCAATTAGAGGAAGACCGCGACAGAAAGCCTTCAGCAGCGGCGGCAACATTATCACCAAAGTAGCGCCCTGCATGATCAAGGGAGCACCAACACGGCTCTGAGTATAGAATGTTAGGTCATGCCCAAGCAATTCTCTGAAGCGCTTACACTTTGAAGCACTAGCGCAGCTCCGTTTCGGATGAGCTGAGAGAGGCTACATTCCTTTTACAGCTCCAAAGTAAAAAGCACCCAAGGTTGAATTAAAAATATAATTATTAACTATTAGGGGTTGCCAACTTTGGCAACAACAATAAGTTTTATTTTTTGCGAGCAATTCAGGAACCTGGTTGGCTAGAGAAAAAGTACGAAATCAACACAGGAAGAAGATTATTTTTCTCAGCAACTGGACATTTTTTGGGGTCCAAGGCGCGAGCTATACCGTATTTCGCATGTAGAGAGCTGCACCCTCATATGAGATGCACCTAGATATTGACCAATCACATCCGGCTATCTTGAATTGAGGAATCGCATGTAGAGAGATGCACCATTTCTAAGCCAACCAAGTCTTTGCGGAAAAATTTGCGCCGGCAGTCGGTCAAAAGCGGACTACGTAGGTGCTGGCTCGAAAATTTGCAAGAACAGCTGCAAAAGCCAAGAGAACAGGGATCAAAGTTCAAGCTAGCGCCGCCTGGACGCGCGGGGATGTGCCGATGGGTGTGCAGCAGTTGGGAAGCTCTGAGTGCTGAAACCATCCAAAATGGGTACAAGAAGTGCGACTTGCTTCTCGACACCGACTGCCTTGCGGCTGCGTCTATGGTGGACGAATTGCAGCGACTATCGCTAGTAGGGTTAAGTACTGACGAAGATCACGATTTTGATAGATGGCTCACCGCAGAGGAGGATGGCAACGTGAGTGCTGACGTAGCCGTCGTGTAAATACTAAAGGAAAAAAAGGTTCCTGTATAATTTGATTGTGTCTTTTAAATATGTATTTATCCGGGTTTGATTTGCTATGTGAACATTAGGTGCATCTCTCTACATGCGAAATACGGTACCGCCGTTTCTATTACGGCAGAGCTGTCGTAGACAATGTGGTTTTCTCTCCCCCCCGGGCATGCAAAGGTCAGCGGTATAAAACGACTGCTGCATAAGCAATCACCGCGAGCGATCATATATGTTGAGTCAGTACTCAAACTTCCAGAACGACGGCAAGCTAACACAATTACTGTCTAGTGTCCTTCTCGATGGCATCGCAGTGCAAGTGGAAGCGGTGAAAGAAAGCTCCAAAGAAGGATGCTGATAGTCTGGCTCTTTTCAGTTGCGTCAACAACAACAAGTGCACGAACAAGATACATCAAGCGTGCTTAAACGACCTTTTGTCGATCTTTGGTGCAACTGAAGGTGTCTCGGCTGTCATATATGGGAAACGATGCTTTAATGCTGTGAATAAAGCCCTGAAAGTAAATGATGAACCTTCCCCGTACGTCAAAAAGCGTGTACCTTGGCACAGTGGCGGACCTACTGCTAGCATCAGCTCAGTTAGTTAAGTAAATGATGAACCTTCCCCGTACGTCAAAAAGCGTGTACCTTGGCACAGTGGCGGACCTACTGCTAGCATCAGCTCAGTTAGTTGCCTGATAGATTGGATGACTACGGGAGCGAGCTAGAATCGGTACCGTGGTGGAGACTCTCAGCATGGTGAAACGAATGCAACTATAGCTGGAGAGATTGTCCGATTTATCGAATCGTGTGGGGTGACAACTACCCGTACAGCCAAGGACGTTCAAACCAAGATCTTGAGCCTTGAGCAATCTTTCAAGTCTGCTGCGGATTGGCTTGGTGCTACCGGACAAGGCGTAGAAGACGAGACAAGTATGCCGTACTTGCTCACTGCCCATACTACTACGACCTGTTCGATGTTATGAACGATCGTGCTAGCAACAAGCCTTTGATGCTGAACACAGACAACTTAGATTCCAGTGAAGAGAGCTCCGATGATGAATCCGTAACGATGGATACCCTACGTGACCCTGAAAACAACACACTAAGCTCAAACACGACTTCAACGGAGCGATCCAAGCTGTTCAGCGCTGCCACTAAAACGACTTTGACTATTGCCACACCTGAAAATGATACTACCATCGGCCACAAACGCACTTCTTCTAGTAGGCCTCGCTCAATTGGCTCTATTAGAAAGAAAGTTAAGGATACTGTGGACGAACTTACAGCTAACTATTCGTTTGTGGACTTGAAGAAGAAACAGCTTGCCCAAGAAAAAGACTTCCAGCTGCAGTCTCTTAATCTAAAACGTGAGAAGGTTGCACAAGCCAACAGAGAAATCGACGCTAGAGTAGTTGAGGCGACCGCTCGAACGCTACACTTCCGTGCCCAAGCAGAATCGTGCGAGGTGGAGTGCAAAATAAAACTACTTCGAGAACGCCTTAGACTTCTCCAAGACGGGGTTCCACAACGTGAAACCGACATGCTTCTACCGTCGGATCTCCAGAAGATAGTGGAATAACTGCTTTCTTCGCTTGTCACCTTGTGAGTTTTGGCAAATTGGTAGATTCAGCTCATCATCAGCATCTAATCCATTTCCGTACTTCTTTAAGTCTTTCATCCACTGATCTGGTATAGGTTCACTTATCAATAGGTTGTGCAGGATAAATGCGCATGCTATCAGGCGAAGCAGCCGTCGCATACTCTTTTTCCCCGAAAGTCTGATACGAATCCCACGAAGATATTGAAATCTAGTTTTCACTAAGCCGATGCAATGTTCAG